AATTAGCCATGGATTTACATGTATTCCCCATCCCAGTCCCCCCTCCCACCTCCCTCTCCACCCGATCCCTCTGGGTCTTCCCAGTGCACCAGGCCCTAGCACTTGTCTCATGTACCCAACCTGGGCTGGTGATCTGTTTCACCCTAGATAATATACATGTTTCAATGCTGTAGGACATGAGTTTGATTGAGCAAGCTCCAGAAGGTGATGCTGGAGTGGGAGGCCTGGCGTGCTGCAGTCCATGAGGTCACAAAGAGTCTGACATGACTGAGTAACTGAACTGAACTGAGAAAAATTAACTCAGTATTGGACTGCAAAACTCAGTATTAGAATTCATTTTGTTCTAAATTGATCTATAGACTTAATGCAGTCCCAATCCAAACACCCTGACTTTTTGGGTAGATATTAACAAAAGGGTTCTAAAATTTATGTGGAAATGTAAGCCAAGGATTATTACATCTAAAACAGTGTTGAAAAAGAACAAAGTTAAAAGACTCGTACTACCTGATTTCAAGACCCTATAATGCTATGCAGTATACTAATGCTATACTACATACTAATCAAAACAAGTGATAGTTTCATAAGGATAAATATATAGATCAGTTAAAAAAAAAACACAGCACCTAGGGGTAACCATACACCTATGCAATTACTTGATCTTCTAAAAAAGCATCAAAACAGTCAGTCGGGAGAAAGGAGAGTCATTTCTGCACATTGTACTTGAACAACTAAATACCCACATGGGGAAAAAATAAACATGACCCCTGCTTCACACACCATGTGCAAGCATCAGTTCAAGATGCATCACAGACCTAAATGTAAATGCTAAAACTGTGAAGCTTTTAGAAGAAAACGTACAGGAATATCTTTGTGACTTGCATGTAGGCAAAGGTCTCTCAAAGACAGGACACAGTAACAAAAATCACAAAAGAAGAAAACCTGTAGATTCACATTTATCTAACTATAAAACTTCTGCTTATTATTAAAATTTACTGTTAAAGTGAAAAGCCGTGGGAATTTCCTGGCGGTCCAGTGGTTAGGACTCTGTGCTTTCACTTCTGAGGGCCCACTTCAGCTCCTAGTTGGGGAACTAAGATCCCACAAACCACATGGTGTGGCCACAAAATAATTAGGCTGTGGCCTTTCACCTTATTTTATCAGAAAATAGTCACAAAAATTCACAAAAATACATCTATGAAGAGGATCAGTATCCGTGTAATATAAAGGTATCTACGACTGAAAAATGGGATGACAACCCAATAAAAAATGAGCCAAAGATTTTAACATTTTCAAAAGAAGATATGACAGTAACCACAAGTACGTAGAAAAATGATCAACGTTGTAAGTTGAGAAGGAAATGTGAGTTCAAACCACAATAAATATCACTGTATAGCCACTGTAATGATTAAAATTAAAAAGACTGGGAGATTGGAAGGAAGTTCAAAAGGGAGGGAATATATGTATACCTATGGCTGATTCATGTTGAGGTTTGACAGAAAACAACAAAATTCTGTAAAGTAATTATCCTTCAATAAAAAATAAAAACAAAATGATACCAGAGGTTGGCGAAGATGTGGAGCAATTTGAACTCTCATACATTATTGGTGGCAATAGAAAATGATAGACCATTGGAGAAAATCTTCTGAAAGTTTTTATATCAAGCTGCTAATATACCTGCCCTATAACATAGCAGTTATTGTCCTGTGTACATATCCAAGAAAAGTGAAAGCATGTCCACAAAAAGGCTATATAAGAACATTGACAGCATCCCTACTTAAAGGTCCCCAAGCTGGAAGTAGTCCAGGTGTCTATCGGTAAGAAAATATATAAATGAGGGACTTGGTAGTGCAGTGGCTAAGACCCTGAGCTCCCAAGGCAGGGGGCCCAGGTTCAATCCCTGGTCAGAAAGCTAGTCATCACATGCTGCAACTAAAGATCCCACATGCCTCAACTAAGACCCAGTGCAGCCGAATAAATAATAATACATTTTTAAAAAATATGTAAATGAGCTGTGGTAGATTCCTTTGATGGAATACCATTCAGCAATCAGAAGGAACATGAATAAATTTCAAACACGTTAAATGAAAGAAGCCTTACAAAAAGAGTACATTACTGTATCATTTCATTTATCTGAAATCCTAGAAGAGTTACAGCTAATCTATGATGGAAAAAAAAATTAATACTGTTTGCCACTGGGTTTGGGGATGACTGGAAAGAGGTGTGAGGGAACTTTCTGGAGTGATGGTAACATTCTGTATCTATGTACGTTGGGACTACACAAGTTTATGTATCTGTGAGAATTTATCAGATGATACACTTATGATTTGTACATTTTGTTGTAAGTTTTGCCTCAAATAAAGGAAAACGGAGCTCTGAAAAAATGAAGCACTCTAGTTAAATTCTTTCAGCTTTTCTCTGTTTGAAAATTTTCATAAGATGTTGAAAAGTCTCATGAAACAAGAGCATCTTTTTTTTTCTTGGTAGAATGCATTAGTTTTTTGGTTTATGATGCAGAAGCATGTAGTAGAGCTGGAAGTGGTTCAGATCCAAGATCCTGGACTTACTGGCTGTGGGGTATTGGGATCTTACTTAATGATCTGTGCCTCAGTTTCCTCTGAAATAATCAAAATCACAGTTGTAGAGGTATATGAGTTTGGATGGATAGATGAGGTCAGTGCTTACCACATGTTAAGCTCTAAATGTGTCAATTACTAACCAAGCACAATTTAAATATGCATTTAATTTTAAGAAGTGTTTTTCTTGATGCTGCTTTACATTTTCAAATGTCACCTTCTTTTAAAATATTTTATAGTTGAGTTCAATTCCAGTTTTGGTAGAGGCATGATGAAGGCGAGTGGGTGAGAGGAAAGTTGGGGAGTGGATGGATAGAGAAATGAAAAGGACTAAGTTTTGTGCATTTTAATAACAAGATCACCATGTACTTGATAAGCCTTTTTTCTTAAGCTTTTTTTTAAAGTATTTATGTTGCACGTTTCCTTTTTTATTTTATATACTAAAACCACTCAGTTTTTTAATATATAAGTTCACACATAGTGTAAATAAAGCACATGTTTTCTATATGTTCTGTTGGAAATAGATACATTGTATAAAACCTGTATTAATTTCTATAGATTGACCTAGAAGCTGAGATGGTGAGCACTGTGGCTGGAATTGGAATTCAAGGTACAGATAAAGAAGGTGGAGCTAAAGGAGATGAACAGCCCATTAGTTCCCCTTGGGATGTAGTTTTTGGAAGGTCAGGTATGTAAACTTGATACTAAATAAGTAAATTTTGCTGAGTTAAAATAAGATTTTAAAAATATTATAGGAACATTCATTTGGATTAATTGTTACTAGTTATTTTATGCTTTTATATCCATGACTTGGGATTTGTTAATTGCATAAAAGCAAAGCTACCAATAATATATAGAAGGTAGGATAACTATATCTTTATATATAACATGTGACATTACATGCATATTTTATATACAAGATAGATTATATATTTCTCTAATGTTAAAGAATTTCATCTTAGTTGCAGTTTTCAATTAAGATAGTTCTGAATATTCTTAAATTGGAAGGATTATAGTTTCAAAATTTCAAAAGATTATTCATGCAGTATACTGTTTAACAATGTCCTTTTTATTTACTGCCATGTGAAAAAGCAAATCAAGAAATGACGGGTTTTTTTTTAGATTATTAAAATTTTAATTTAATAATTATAGCTTATTTTGAGTAGTTTAAAAAAATAATAATACTTCTATATACTGGAATATTAGTCAGTCATAGAAAAGAATGAAATCTTGCCATCTGTGACACCGTGGATGGATCTAGAAGGTGTTATACTATGTGAAGTATATCAGAGAAAGACAAACACTGTCTAATCCTGCCTATACTCAGAATTTATATTGTTTAAAAATTGGGTGTACTTTACCAGATGCTTTACTATGTTGGATTCATTTAGTAGAGTACTTACATATTTTTCTAGGCTAGAAATTGTTCGGTCCTACTTTATGGCATGGAATTTCTGGTTGTTTATTTCATATTGAGAGTGTACCCAAATTGCTTTCCAAGGAAAATATTGGCTCTGTTGACAAGTACTCCTTCAGCTTCTAACTGGAGTGATGTGCTGAGGCTTATATCTTTATTAGGCTCAGTTTTTAGAAAGGAAATGAGTGCTACCTTAGCTCAATAGATCATTAAAAGCATGTGTGCATGCTAAGTTGCTTCAGTCATGTCTAACTCTGTACAACCCTATGAACTGCAGCCTGCCAGGCTCCTCTGTCCATGGGATTCTCCAGACAAGAATACTAGTGAGGTTTGCTGTGCCCTCCTCCAGGGATCTTCCTGACCAAGGGATCAAACCCACATCTCTTGTATCCCCTGCATTGGCAGGCAGTTTCTTTATCAGTAGCACCACCTGGGAAGCATCATTAAAAGCATATGGCTCTGCATTTAACTTAACAGTTTAAAGAGATGGGAATATGAGACCACCTTTTACGTGTCTCCTGAGAAATATGTATGCAGGTCAAGAAGCAACAGTTAGAACCAGACATGGAACAACAGACTGGTTCCAAATTGGGAAAGGAGTATGTCAAGGCTGTATATTGTCACCCTACTTATTTAACATATGTGCAGGGTACATCATGCAAAATGCCGNCAAAGGCAGGAGAAGAAGGGGACAACAGAGGATGAGATGGTTGGATGGCATCACTGACTCGATGGACATGAGTTTGAGCATGCTCCAGGGGCTGATGATGGACGGGGAAGCCTGACGTGCTGCGGTCCATGGTGTCACAAAGAGTCGGACAGAATTGAATGACTGAACTGAACTGAACTTAAAGTGACCTCGCTTCCAGATACTTGGCAAGAGGAATAATCTTGAATTTAAATAAGCTTAAATAAGCTCAACACCTTTCAAATGCTAAGAGTAAATGGTTTTCAAATACTGTACGAATGTCCTGTAATCTCAATGACTACAAGAGTTTTTTTTTTTTTAAAACCCCGAGAGTTTTTAACCTTGACTTAATATACCCAAGGCATTTGTGATTAGACTTTGTGAAGTTCTTAAATTTCCCAGAAATTCTATTTAAGGTTTGGGGGAATTGGTCAGATTCTCATCAGAGTTCCAAAGTGGTATGTTACCCAAAATCATTTTTAGAACCACTGCTTTAAATCACTCTGAAATATAATCCTAGAAATGTATTTTGTTAGGGTATGGGGAAATTGGATCATAGACTACTTTCTCTCCTTACAATTGTTTTTACTAAACTATATTTTGGCATCATATCATATCATTCATTTAAAAATATTTTAACATATCAATGTATCTTACATTCATTTTTATTTATATGTTTCATATTTATATTTCATCAAAGCACAGTCCTATGGGACTGTTAACTGTTTTTACTGTAAGGGCTTGCTGCTCATTTTAGTTATTATCTTAACCTCTCTGAATATCTACTAGAGAAGTTCTTTTCTGTGTTATAAATAATTATACTTTTTTCTCAGTATCAAGTTTATTTTTAAGCTCTGGGATAATTTAAATATCTTAACTGATTATGTTTGCATTGTTATATTGATTTGTAGGAAACTTAGAGACGGATTTGTCTTTAGCAAAGTATAATGGAAACATGACATTCATATTTTAATATTAGTATGGCTGCATCTTTTGTTTCTTCTCTCTTTACCTATTGCTTCAATTTTATTATTTTAGATTTATTTATCTTATTAGGGTTTCTTTCTTTGTGAACTACCTAAATACTTTGTAAAATAAAAGTAGAAGTGAATAAATCCAGTAGAATCCTTTATTGAAGTGATTGGCTATAAGTGATCCATAGAGGAAAAAAAATGGTTAAATCTGAGAATCATAAAACTAAAAATGCTTTGTGTTAAGAACTATAAATATATATTGTGTCCCCTGATAGTCTTATGCCACTCAAAATGTATTATTTTGGTTTCCTTAAACCATGATGAGAGTTTTTTAAACACCTGCAAAATAAACTGAGGGCTGAAATTTTTAAAAGCTATTCTTCCCAGTTATCTTTCCACATCTAGTTCACTAATAATTTGACTTTACTTGCCTTTATTGAGTCTTTCCAAAGTATTAACTTTGTTTTCAGAGAAATAGCTTCCCTTTTGCATTCATGTTGAGTTGATTCATATATATTTAAGTTATATCATTGTAGAACTGGTTTAAGCAGATATGGGATTAAATGTAATTTGACAGGGATTGTGGTTAAGAAAAATTGTTTTTGTAAACACTTAAATTCTTTAGTACTTTAAAAATTATATAGAATATTTCTGAAATTCTACCATAGTTAGGAATATGAAAGAGGGTGGAATTATCAGAAGGAAAACATGAAAAATAGGTTGTATTTATTATAATATCTTCATATATTAAGCGGTTGTGCAGTACAAACAAGAGCCCACAGCTATACCTAATAGCTTGGATGAGTATCAGGAAATCTGTTGAGCAGAAAAATGTTCAGTTTTTGTAGAATGTTCAGTAGCAAGCAAGACTAATTATACAATGAGAGAGCCATTCAAACATGGTGATTTTTAAAAACTGAAGAATATAATAAAAAAACAAAGTTTTAGACTGGTAGAGAGGAAGAGGATATATTCATAAAGGGATGCAGGAGGTTTTTAAATAATACTGCCTTTTGTTGAGCTGGTGGTATGCACATGGATATTTACTTACTATTAAACTTTATAATGAACACTTATCTATTCATATGCATATTTAAAGAAAAAGTAAATCTTAAAAGGAAATGAAATAGGTCAGGTAAAGAGAATGGAAAATAAAAGATAAATATCCAGTTGTGTATATACTCCCCCAAGAGACTCAAATAATGAACAGCATACTTAAAGAAGATATTAAGGAAAGGGATTTGAAATACCTCTGGTTATTTTAAACATATGTGTGATATGTAAGTGTGTGTGTTTGTATTTTTAATAGTACCTGAATATTTAATCCAATTATGCTGTTACAGTGATAAAAGCATGAAAATAATTAACATTAATGCCAAAGTTTTTTCATCTTTATTTTTGATTATCACTCTAAATATGGTCAGAACTTTGTCATCCACTAAAAATAATTAAAAATAACTCCAAAAAAATCATTTTTCAGCAGAAACATTGCCATGTTTCTAATGTGCATATTAAGTCTGTGCTGACTCTTACTCATACAAGACAATAACCCAAGAATTATTTTTTATCATAAAGAACTTTTTTTTCAGTAACCCCTGTTAGTCTCTAAGTAATTCAGACTTTACCTGATTTAAAATCGCTTAAGGAAAGATAGTATGCCTGAATCCCATTAACCTTCGTTGGCCCTTTAATCAGCATTTCCCTAGATAGAAATTTAGCTGTACTTATTTGACCTTTAATGATTGAAATCCAACTATTTAGTATGCTTGTCTGGTAATTTACAGCTTAGATAATATGCTTCTCTGACTTCCATTAATATGCTCTAAAATAACATTTATCTTCTAATCAGGTGAAACAATTTTTTTTGAGGAATAAATCTTATATAATGTGACTAGTGTGTTTTTATTTTAATAAAATAAAACAGTTGTATTTTTGTGTCTGAATATTATCACATTGACTTGGTGTTTATAAAGCACAAGCTTACTTCTGTAGTTCCTTCATTCTGATCATAACACTAATCTGGATTTGGCCTCACTGCTATGTGCTGCTGTGTTAGTCACTCAGTCCTGTCCAACTCTTTGTGACCCCAAGGGTTGTAGCCTGCCAGGCTCCTCTATCAATAGAATTCTACAGGCAAGAATACTAGCTGCTGCTGCTGCTAAGTCACTCCAGCCGTGTCCAACTCTGTGAGACCCCAGAGACGGCAGCCCACCAGGCTCTGCCATCCCTGGGATTCTCCAGGCAAGAACACTGGAGTGGGTTGCCATTTCCTTCTCCAGCGCATAAAAGCGAAAAGTGAAAGTGAAGCTGCTCAGTCGTGTCCAACTCTTAGTGACCCTATGGACCACAGCCTACCAGGCTCCTCCATCCGTGGGATTTTCCAGGCAAGAGTACTGGAGTGGGTTGCCATTGCCTTCTCCAAGAATACTGTAGTGTGTAGCCGTTTTCTTCTCCAGGGGATCTTCCCAATCCAGTCATCAGACCTGGGTCTTCTGCATTACAGGCAGATTCTTTACCTCCTGAGCCACCATGGAGTTGAACTCACTAAGGTATTAGTATTCCAGGTTTAGCTGTGTGAATACCAACAAGTTATTTAACCCATTTCAATTTCATTTTCTTTATAAAATAGAAATGATAATAGCAGGACTTGCTAATGTTGTCAAATTAAACGAAATAATCCATGTAAAGGGCTTATTATTAGCTCAGTGCCTTAAACTAGGAAGTGTTCTGAATGGTTATCCTTTTCACCACCACACCCCCCATCATTATCCTTATCAGTTGGTGTGTAGAATCATAAACTCCTGAAACCCAACCTGATACAGCCTCTGCTTCTGCGCTCTTTTTCATACCTCCAACTTCTAAAGGAAATAAGGACGCAGAGACCAAGAACAAACAGAGGCTCACACTAACATTACTTTGAAGCTTTGGCCTCTTACAGTCAAGCCTAGTTGAACAAGACTGGCCTGTTTGGAGAAGTTGGACACCTGATTTGATCTTTTACTTATGTATAAACCAGACAGTTCTTTGGCCAAGTTAGAGAGGCTTAAACTCATGTCATCTTCTAATGTTTACAGTTTTATTCCCAATCTTTACGCTTTTTGCTTCTTTTTCTTACTTGTATGAATTAGGACCTTCATATGATGCTAAATAAGTGTTGATAGCAGATCTTCCTTGTCTCATTTCTATTCTCAGGGGGAATATCTTAGCTCGGGCTGCCATAACAAAATGCCACAGATTGGGTGGCTTAAAGAATTTTATTTTCTCACAGTTGTGGAGTCTAGAAGTCCAAGGTCAAGGTGCCAGCATGATTGGTTTCTGGTGAGAGCTCTCTTCTGGCTTTTAGAAGGTCATCTTCAAGCTTTGTCTTCACATGGCAGGGACAAAATAAGAATAATGAAGAGCTTTTGATCTAGTTTTAAAGTGATTAAGCAGAGACTGAGTCCCCAGAGCATATGGATGCCATTGTCACTCTTAATACAGTTTTTGTTTATAAGAGTATTTGACTATGAAAAATTAAATTGAAATAAACTATCTTTCTTTAGATTTCTATGATAGCAATTAACAGAGAAAGGGGCAATATGTTAAATAGAGTTTTCTGTTGGATTGCCTGGGTTCCGATTCCAGTTCCTTCATTTACTAGCTCTGTGATCCTGGCAAGTGACATGACCTCTCTGAGCCTCAGTTTCTTCTGTAAAGGGCCTGTAAAAATGACCTAATGACACCACCTGTCTCCTGGGGCTTTTGAGAAGATTTAGGTAATATTCTCTATAATGTGCTTGGCATATAGCACCACAGTTTGTTGATCATCACCATTATTTTTGTTGCTATGGAAGACACTTGAAAATAGTACAAGTTAATGAAGAAATATTTCTTCTGGATGTAACTGAAGTTAACGAAAAAATAAAATAATCTTACCAAGATATTTCTTTTAGCACAGGATACATCTGAACAAATTATTTTAGTGAAAATGTCTCAACTACATGTAAAAGTAGCCTCAGAATTCAGTTTAAATTAAAATAATTAAATATTTTAACAGTAGAATTAATTTGAGAAATGGAGCCTTGTCACATTGTAATAAGTTGTAATATCAGTTTTAAAAGACAAAATTATTTATTAACTTTAGAAAATAGGTATAATATATTGTACTCTTAGCTTTATTGCATGTCAACTATATCTTTTTGAGAAAAGTTCACAACAATTAAACAGTAGGTTTTTAAATAGCAGTAGTGATGTGAGTCTAAGCCTAAAAGCTAATATATGGTGGAAATATACATTTCTTAAACTATTAAAAGGTACAATTCTTCATGAGAAATTGTTCAAAGAACTATTCCTGTATTCCTGAAGCATGTAATTTAGGTTCTTGACTGCCAAAGTTTCTTTGGAGCATGTGCATCAAGCGATTTCTTGTCACATAAAATAAGAAATCAGATGTTTAAAAACATCATGCCCAGAGATGCAGAGGGACTTTTGCTGCTGAGAATACTTTGGATTTCTGTGAATGTATATTTTTAAGTCTAAAGAAGTAAACCTTTCACGAGGAAAATGGAAAAATTTCCAAAACGACTTAAAACATTGCAGATGTTTTTGCTTCCTTCTATCAGCTGATTTATAAACATACTATTGTCTCCCTTAATTTAAATTTCTGAAACAACTGGGAGTGTTTGTTAACCAGATACATATATGATAATTACTATTTCTTTTCATAAAGGTTCAGAAGTCCAAAGAGATAACATTCTGTGGATAGCCATGGCAGGGACTCATCAGATATGGGCACTCTTGTTGGACTGTGGCAGATTACCAAAGAAAAAGTAAGTGGTAACATCTCTCTTTGGGTAAACATGGAGTTCACAGAATTCCTTTTCCAAAAGTCTCCATCCTTGTAACACCCGCTGTACTAGACAGGATATGCGGGGCTATGCTGCCATAATGAATAGCTGTGGTTCTCGGTGGCTTAAGACAAGGTTTGCTTGCAGGGGAAGCACTGCTCTGCCACCCAAGCTTATGCAGCAGCCGCCATCTGGAGCTTTGCCAGTGGTCCTGGCAGAGAGAGAGAGGTGATGAGGTGTTCACCAGCTCTTAAAACTTCTCAGAAGTGACATATCACTTCTACTCACATTTCATCAGCCCAAGTATGTCTTAGGACCACACCCAACCCTAAGTAGCTTAGGAAGAGCAGTCTCACCAAGCATTCACAAAGAGAACTGGAAACATCTTTTAACACTTATTTCTAATCTCCCTGATCAGTTCAGATATATGAAGACTGCATGGAAGAATGATTAATAGCTCCGGCTTTGTCATCAGGCCTGATATTGAGCCTGGCTCTGCCACTTCTTATCTACATGAGCTTAGGAGAGTCACTTTAACTTTCTAAGCCTCAGTTTTCCTTACTTATATCTACCTCATAGGTTTTGTTTTGAGAATTAATATGTGTGAAAAGCTCAGCCTAGTGCCTGGCCTGTACAGTGAATGTAGGTAGCATTGCTGCCACTGTAAGGGGTATAAAGATGGAAAAGTAGTGTCTCTACAGAGTTTCTTGTATTTCTCCTGTAAAGCCTTTCCTCTTCCTCTAATACCCCAGCCTTTCTCTTCCCCTCTCCTCCCATATCTCCCTTCTTCCCTCCTTCTCACCCTTCATCCCACCACCCTCCCCTCTTCTCTCTCTCACCTTCTGTATTTTTGTTTGCACTTATTTGTTTACATAGCTATTTTCTCCTACTAGTCTGCCTCTTTAAGGAAAGGACCCTTTCTCATTCACTTCTTGTCCTCTGCACCTAGCACAGTATCTGATACATGACAGGAGCTCAGTGAAGGTCTGCGGAAGTAAATGAATGAAATTCATAGACCATAAAGAATGTCAAATCACCGTAGAAAGTACGTGCCAGTCACCTCAGTTACCTTTATCAGTAGAGAGGAGCAGTTGTATAGATAATCCAGAATATCGGATATCCTAAATTGTGTGTGTGTTGCTTTGTGAGATGTTTAGCAGCATTTAATCATCTATTGAAAAATATTTATTAAGCAAACAAGGCACTATGCTTTGTAGTAGAGATGAAATGGCATATCTCTTACATAAATAAGAGGAACATCTGATATAAATAAAATTTAAGGTATCAAAGGAAGGCTTCCTGGAAGAAGCTACTAACTAAGAGCTTTTTAGCTACTAACTAAACCTAACAGAAGGGTAGGAAGGAGTTCAGAAGGGTAAAGGTTTTCTAGGCAAGAAATGACCCTTGTGATGTCAGTAGAAGCCAGATCCTGAAGTTCCTTGTGAATCTTTCTAAGAGATTTGAAAGGTATTCTGCATGACTTGATAGGAAGTTTTAGGTTGGGAAGTGATATGATAAGATCTGTGTTTTTGAAAGAACACTGGTAGCATTTGGAGTGTGGCAATACTACAGACAGGTACAAGGAGGAGGCCGCTGCTGTTATCCAGGCCAGAGCTGACAGAAGCTGAACAGTGAGGTAACCAACAGCATATGAGATGAGGAAAAAAGAAGTAGCAGAGATGACCAGACTGCGTTGTTCTAAATGATGACTGTTTTGGACCTAGACAGTCAAGAGTGGTCTAAATTTCACTAAGTAGAGTTGTCACTCTTTCACAATAGAAAAGTGTCCAGTCTGACTTGTATTATAATTTCAAGAATGCGTTATTTGTCACTGACCTTAAAGTGGTAATAATTCCTGAGCTTTTAGAAGTTACTGTTTCTCCCCACTATTTCTAGCTTTTATTAAGAGAGCTCCTTTGTAAAATTGTTATAACTCCTTTGTTTGGCATATTTGTTATTACATATAAATAGGCCTTGAATAAATGGCTGTATTTATACATTTTCTATCCCTTTGCTTCCACTCCTTGTTCCCTACCTACGTTAGCATTGGGATGATATTAACCAGTAAGTGACTGATGGTCATTTTATACTTTTTTTTGCATGTATTACAGTATTAGAAAATGATACAGAGTCTCTCGTTGTTTTGTATCCCAAGTCAGCTTCTTCCCTCCCCTCAATACAGGACACTAGCATGTCTTCCTTACAGTTCCTCTGACATAAACTTAGAAAGCAAGGTATAAAACTTTCTCCACATTACAAAGAAATCATTACAATAGTCCTTTAAATAGAAATTTCCCTAGTATACATAGGAAATGGATTTGTACAATTGATTAAAGCAGCAAAATCATATTATTACTTTAAAATGAGCACCCATCTTTCACAGATGATTCTTTTAATTCTTTTTGCTAGTCTCTTCTTATATTTTTTGTTGTTTAGTCACAAAGTCATGTACAACTCTTTTGCAACCCCATAGACTGTAGCCTGCCAGGCTCCTCTGTCCATGGAATTTTCTAGGCAAGCATACTGGAGTGGGTTGCCATTTCCTACTCCAGGGGATCTTCCCAGCCCAAGGATTGAATCCACGTCTCCTGGATGGCAGGTGGATTCTTTACCACTTAGCCACCAGGGAAACCTGGTCTCTACTTATGTACAAGAAAATAAAACATTTTTAATGAAAATTTAAGCTCAGAACTGTCAAGAGCTAGAAGAGATTACCTAGATCTTTTTAATTCCCTTTTAAGCTCAGAACTATCAAGAGCTAGAAGAGATTATCTAGATCTTTTTAATTCCCTTTCAAAATCTAATATTGCGTGAAGCTAAGACACTAGGATATAAAGGTGGAATCTAGCTGTACCTACCTCTGATCATCTGGAGGAAAACTATCTCATCAGTGATGTGACCTTAATTCATGTATTTTTAACTTTGTCTGGGATCTCCTGTTTAATCATTGAGAATAGTTTCACTTTTGTGTATGTTTTAAAAAAAAGGTAGAAAGAGCCCTATACAGTGGGTAAATAAGTTAATACTTAGAAAAACTACAATGAAAGCTTATTTGCACAATTTAACTAGGTCAAGATCAGCAAATTTTTTTTTAATATATAATGCTATCACCATTGGCTTCATCATTTACATTCATTTGTTTAATAATTAAACTGGGCACAGTGTAACAGTGTTGACATTTCACCTGTGAATTTGTCTTCTTTAGCGAGTTAAAAGAAGGAACCTGTCTTCGGTTTGCTGGAAGTGGAAATGAAGAGAATCGAAACAATGCATACCCTCACAAGGCAGGCTTTGCCCAGCCTTCGGGCCTGTCTCTGGCCTCAGAGGATCCCTGGCGCTGCCTGTTCGTGGCAGATAGTGAGAGCAGCACAGTGAGAACTGTCTCGCTGAAAGATGGGGCAGTGAAGCACCTCGTGGGAGGAGAGAGAGATCCCATGGTAATGAAAAGCGCTTACACGGCGGGCCTGCTTAGCGAGCTTGCAGTTTTCTGAGTTGTGAAGTTCATAAGACGTAGGAAGGAGACAATGCTTGAACTTACCCATGTTAAAATGGAAGTCAAACCAAAGGAAATGTGACTATAAAGAAGCACAAGTAACAAAACCACCTAAGAAAAGTTAACCGATATGATTCGATTCTGTATAAATGTCAAGGCTTCCGAGAGAAGGGAAGGATAAAATTGTGATTACTGAGCAAGGGGAAAATGAAGAGTAGAAATTTGGCAGGAGGGTGGAAAGAGCACGAGAGTAGTAGACCTGACCTGTCCAGATCAGATGTGTCATTTTTGTGAATAAGATTCCGTAGAACCACAAATTAAGTCAGGTTCAGAATTCTGTCATTTTTTTTTTCTAGTTTCAGTCAAATGCCCAACCCTATTTATATGAAATCAGACTTTTCCCCCTTTAACTTAAATAGCATGTACAGCCATCTGAATTTTCACTTTATACCCTAACAAAGTTCTGTGAAAAAACTTTAATACATGCTGCTTCTTTTCTTTTAAAAAAAAAGAATTTATTTGCTTTTGGTGATGTTGATGGAGTAGGAATCAGTGCAAGGCTTCAGCACCCACTTGGAGTAACTTGGGACAAGAAAAGGAATTTACTGTACGTGGCAGACTCTTACAATCACAAGGTGAGTCTTGACAGAATTATATAATACCCTGCTTTTTACTTGTGGTATTTAAAATGCTGAAAGATCTGTGAGTCTCCTACAACTGCCACTCTAAAATGTAGAGAGAAATAACAGTCTTTGACAACTGTACATAAGCCTTTCTGTTCCTTTTTTGGTCCTTTCTTTGCAGAAATGATGTGATAGTACTCTGAGCTGGGGAAAGGACTAAACAAATTCCCAATGACAGTAGCCAAAAATTGGGAATTGCAAGCCACTAAAGCTGTTTAGTAACATCTTCAGTAAATAAGGAGAGGGCAGTTAACAGGGAAATTAATATGTCAGTTAACAAATGAACATTTTTGAGCCTTTGCATAGTTGCCGTGCCTGTTAGCAAATAATTCGTTTTCATCAACATTTCTGTTTTCTTTGTCTATTTTATTTTTACTATGCATTTTTAAAATAAAATCATTGGAACATAAATATTAGTATTGTGTGGTGAGAAGCTTATGAATTTAATGTAATTGAAATACAGGAATCACAGCGTCTAACGTAAGTAGCAAATCCGCAGCCGGTATTAGATGTTCCTAAGAAGGAAGTCAGTTCAACTGTGTCCCATTGTGAGGGAAAAGAATAACATTAAATAATTTTTTCAAAGAGTTCTTCTAGAAGACAGGATGTAACTGGGGATTTTATAGTGTTTAACTCTCAGGATGAAATATCTCCCCTTAGAGATATTTGAATGTTTGGCTGTTCAAGAAAATATGGAAGTGTCTGTTCTTTCTCTGATGTTTATTAAGAATACTAATGGCAATCAGGATTTCTCTGCCTTGCTTATTAATATGTTACTCTTCCACACCACAAATGTGAAACTGAGCTTCAGATAAATAAATTTTTGTTCTGTCCTTTTTAGATTAAAGTTGTGGATCCAAAAACAAAAAACTGTACAACATTAGCAGGAACTGGTAATGCAAGTAATATTATCAGTTCCAGTTTTACTGACTCAACTTTTAATGAACCAGGAGGCTTGTGTATTGGAGAGAATGGTGAATTATTATATGTGGCAGACACCAATAACCATCAAATTAAAGTGTTGGATTTAGAAACCAAAACAGTTTCCGTGGTAAGTAATCTTTAAGTTAAGGGGCATCATTTTAAGAAAGATTCTGAAATCCCTAGCAACAACAGAGGCACTTTTGGTTAGACCAACACTAGTGGTGAAAGTGAAACATATAGACAGAGTAGTGAGTGGGTGCCTCTTCCAAGGATATCCTGTTATTTTTAAAGTAAAAATTTCATCTGTGCCAAGAATGTTTGAGAAAAACACTAGAAGTTGGAGAGAATTTGATGAACTTTCAGAAAAGGAAAAAAAAGGCGCATCTGTTTTTAAATGTATGGACATACTGATACACACAAACTATGTGGGTTGGATTGTTTAATCGAGTGTTTTTGTTTTTTTAATTTTTAAACAATCCTCAGACTAATGTGTAATCTTTGTTTCCTATGGTGAATCCATTACCAAATAATCTTTAAAGAAAGGTCTTTAAAGGTCAGGACTTAAAAATAAGATGAGAGGAAACTTAAATAAGTTCTAATTTTAAAGATATAGACAAAGTTATCCCTTTCTATGTCACATTTGTCCAGAAAATGCAGGAGTTTGTTGTCTAAAATTCTAACAATTTCCAAGATTTAAAATACAAACACAGATGCCTTCATAAGTTCATTTCTCTTGACATAGATCTCTGATATGAGATGATTGACATCTTATAGTTGGCAGTGAAAATTATAAGAGGGTGTGTATTACATCCACTGCCTTTAAATTGATAAAGTTTTATTTTAATTTCCTGTTATCAATAAACATATTGAACAATTTCATTCCATTTCATTCATAAATGTTGACAGTCTTTTGGCTAGGATGAAATATTTTTTGAACCTACAAAATAATCATGAGGAAGTCTAAGTAAATGCATTCTGATTCAGAAGAAAATGGCAATTAAGTTTCCTTGACATTGAACCTCACTTTTGTTCTGAAGTCTGAAAATAAGCTCTCTCAGTCTACAGTACTGTAAAGTACTTGTGCTTTAAAAAAACAGATTTTCTTGTTTTTAGTTCCCAGTCTTCACATCTGAAAATGCTGTGGTGGATGGTCCATGTCTAGCAGAAAAACCAAAGACCTTACCCAAACTTCCTAAATCTGCTCCGGGCGTTAGACTTTCCCCCGTGGCTGCGTGTCCCGGACAGACTCTTCAGTTCAAGCTGAGACTAGACCTCCCATCAGGAACAAAGCTGACGGAGGGAGCGTCCAGTTGCTGGTTTCTGTCAGCTGAAGGTATGACAGTAACCTTTTCAAATGCAAATATTTCGTGAATTTTTGATGTTTGATCTAGAAATTTTTCTCGTTTGTTACGTGATACTTTAACTCTACAGTTAGGCAGGATTTGAAGGGGGTCTTATAACACAAAAAGATCCAGATCTAACCCCACTTTAGCAGTTTTCTTTAGTCTTTGAGGTTGATTCTCTCTCTTTATTAAGTAACTGTGTAACTCACCCAAAGTTAATCATAATTGCTGCCATTTGCTCCTAGGCAAGTTCATCACATGAGGCGGACTGTTGGGTCTTAGAATGATAGGTCCTTGAATATTAGAACTGAAAGGCATCAAAATACACCCTTTGTCCTAAGCCTCTTCTAGATGAGGAGACTAGTGGCTCAAAGGGGTAAAATTATTTGCTTGAGGGCATATTTTAATTAGGTCAAAAGATGGAACTTGAACCCAGCCCTGCTAGTCCTTAGTTCAGTATCTTTTCCTTTGTGCTCTGTGTGTGTGCTCAGTCGCTCAATCATGTTCGACCCTTTGCGGCCGCATGGACTATGGCCAGCCAGGCTCCTCTGTCCCTGGAATTTTCCAAGCAAGACTTTTGGAATGGGGTGCCATTTTCTCCTCCAGGGAATCTTCCCAGCCCAGGGATCAAACCTGCATCTCTTGCGTCTCCTTCATTGACAGGCAGATTCTTTACTGCTAGCACCACTTGGGAAGCCCTTTCCATTGTGCCCCTCCATCTCAAACGAGCTCTAGGGTTACTAGTGCTTGAAATGAACTTAATTTTCTACAGACATAAAATTCAAGGCCACCAGTTACACATTTGGATGTTACAGAAGTTTCCAAATCTTACTCTTGGTTTCTGCACTTAACTCATCATTGTGTTGAGTTAACACATTGTGTTGTGGACCAACACCCATCCATAGGTTATACTCTGGTGGCTCTGTTCTGGCACACTGCAGCACAGAGATCAAGGAGGGGAAGAGGGAGCCTCACAGGAGACTGAAGAATGAATAAGCAAGTACAGGCAAAACTCAGAGAGGGTAGTTTTCTAGAGCAGGTGTTTTAAGGAAAGAGTGATCAGCTGTGTCAAGTGCTGTTGATAGATGAGCTAAGATAAGGGCCAAGAATTGATCTTTGATTCAACATTATAGTTAATTTATATCCTCAACCAGAGCTATTTCAGACTGATGAAGGAGATGCCTGATGAGAGCAGATTTAAAAAGAAGAAAGGAACTGGAGAAATCAAATGTAGATAGCTCTTTGAGGAGTTTAGTTAAAAAGATAACGAGAAAGAGAGCAGTTGCTTGAAGGGGAAAGCAGAGTTGGGAGAGCAGTGTGTTTTCTGTTATTGATGGCAAAGATCAGTAGAGAAAGGATGATGTGTGGTAGCCGTGGATATCCTTTAGGAAGATATGAGAGAGGATGGGCTCGAGTGCACAGGTGGAAAACTGGTCTTTGCCAGGAAAGTGGGCAGCATTTCCATGGTAAGGAGGGAAGGCTCCAGGTGTGACCCAGAGATCTGGATAGGAAGCTATGGAGATGAATGCTTGCAGAAGTGTTTTTCTGCATGCTTGTTTTCTTAGTATTAATATGTTGGGAAATACAACCGTCAGCTGAGCATGAGAAGGGGATGGGGAGAAGGTTTTGGAGGTTTGAAGAAAGAGGGTCCGAAGGGTGAAAGGGTGACTACGTGAGGGAAATACAGTATGACTGCTGAACGGCTGAAAGGTTGCATTTGAGGCTGGCTGTCATGAATTGAAAGTTAGTCTGGTCCACATGGAAGTGGTTTTTCTCCAGCCAAGGTTATGCATGAGGGAGCAGCTCTGTGACAACCTAGCGGGTGGGGTGGGGGACTTGGGAGGGAGGTTCAAGAGGGAGGAAATATATGGATACGGCTGATTCACATTGCACAGCACAGACCAACACATTGTGAAGCAGTTATCCTCCAATTAAAATTAATTTTAAAAAGTGTAGTTACTAAGTAGTTTAATCAGGAGTTCTCTGAAGTCCTGATCCAGTATTAATTGTGATTACCACTATACCATTAAATCTCACAGATTCTAAAGAACTAGATTTCCCCCTTGAGTATGAATTTTTTTAAAATTTTTTATTCTTGTTTTTAATTGAAATAACTTGACATATTCTAATTCAATTCTTTGGTTGTTTTATTATCTTTCACTTTTCCAGATAGTTTCTTGTCAAATACTTTAGAGCTTTCAATTGCTGTTCATTTTATTTCAGTAGTATCATTAAGAACTGACTTGTTCAGTTGCTCAGTCATGTCCAACTCTTTGTGACCTCATGGACTATATCACACCAGGCTTCTCTGTCCTTCACTGTCTCCCAGAGTTTGCTCAGATTCATGTCCGTTGAGACCAGTTATTAAGCTTGAATCTGTGTTTTCTTCTCTAAAGATTCCCAAAGTAGAACTTGAGCCCCATTAACTTGCTTGCTACAAGAAAATGAATGCCAAAGCCTTTGCTTAAAAGTATGCCATTCGAGTAAAAGAAAAAACATTGTTGGAGCAGGATGTGTAATTGAATACACACAAATTACTATGATTAGAATCCAGGCAGAGCCTTTGTCCTCACTCTCTAATTTGTGATCTTTTAGCCTAAGAACACTTCTTGTTTGAGCCTATTCTCAAAGTATTCAGTTACTGTAAATTATGTTAAGACTTGGGTGTGTATTTGAATCAGTGTGAACTTATTTCATGAATTAACAAGTAATCAGTATACTACTTGTCTTATAGCATTGCTTTCCAGCATCTCTAACAGAGTAGATAATAATTTCAAAGTGAAATAGTGTAGTCCATAACTGAATTCTGACTTCTTGTCTCTAGTGATCTTCCTCTGTCCTAGTCTCCCAAGCTTTTTCACATGTTCTCACTCAGTTTTCAGTTTCCTGCCCTACTCCGCCTCTCTCATGCCCTCTCACACACTTTTCTTTTGTAATTACCCAGATCCAGGCTTTATGACCTTCTTACCTTGGTACTTTCTCAGGGCAGCAGCTGTTGTCCTGCTGCTGCCCGCTTGGAATCCACAGCAAGAGAGCAGAGGGCTCTTGGTAGGCTAGCCAGAAGACACTGTGTTGGCTCCGGAGGGACCAGCTGAGCCTGTGAGAAGATCACCACCATCCACTCCATGCAGAGGAGAGTTGTGAGCCATGCAGCACTAGAGGATGTTTGGAGCTAGCTTTGTGGGCAGAAGAGAACTCAGACCCTGGCCATTCATTCCTCAGTTAGTTTAGAGCAAGTCCTCGGCTGCCAGTTCAGCTGTTCGGCCTCGGTCCATTAGTCTGAAAGCATTGCATCACTGGGAGATCATGTTAATTTAATTTCTCTCTGTGAAATTAAACATTATTTTTAAGTAGGATATTGGTAAATTTAACATGCTTATTTTAACTCTACTTTGTCAATTATACAAGTTAATGGTATTAATATTGAGTTATTAGAATACAAAGTATAGATAGTGTTAAAGGAAAATGAAATAACCTAGAGAGAAAATTCTTAGTTATCTTAACACTTATCCAAGGCATGGGTTCCATCTTTATTGTATTGTTTGCATTAGTTGCCAACTCATGTCCAACTCTTTGTGACCCTATAGACGGTAGCCCGCCAGCCTACTCTGTCCATGGAATTTACCAAGCAATGGAAAATGGATTGCCGTGACTGGAATGGGTTGCCATTTCCTTCTTCAGGGGATCTTCCTCACCCAAGGATCAAACCCGCATCTCCTGCACTGCAGGCGGATTCTTTACCTCTGAGCCACCAGAGAAACAATTTTTTTTTTCTTTTTGGTATAGGGACAAATAAACTTTCAAGCAAGAATTCTAATAATTTAAGTCTTTGACTATTATTTTATAGGGTACCTTTGTAAACCTGTGATTAAAGGACATTTTTTTCTTCTTGGCCTGTTATTTAGAGACCATAACACTGATTTTTAACTAAATTTTGGTGGGTCTAATCTTAAAGCTGCCAGCATTTATGGGAAGGTTTTAAGCCAATAAATTAATAAATAAATGGCAGTATAAAAGCCCCAAGGGCATGTTGTGCTTCACAAATCCTTCATGTGAAGTATTTGAAAATTGTCTACAGAAACACTTTTATTTCTAAACCTGGACATTAAAATAGCATAATTTATTATTTTCCTGTTTTCATTTAAAATATAAGAAGTTCCCCTACTAATCTGCTGTATAACAAAATCAAACATATTCCTCAGTCCAGAAATAAACAAAGAAGGCCAGAGACTTTAAAAAGAATTATGTTTAAAAGCTCTGCATTTAACTCTTTAGAGTCTCACCTTTCACATTTTCCTTACTCTTGATATATTTTTCTCAAATTTAATTTTTCAATCAACAGAATATTAGAAGCAATAAACTAAAGGAGAGATGAAGAGGACAGGTAGAGACAGGTGCTGTAGTCTGTCGACTCATCCTGAAGTCAAAACAGAAAGAGAAGCTAAAAACTAGACATAGAATTTCATCACTGCTCAGTAGGTGGTCCAGTTTTTGTACAGATAGCCCTGAGTCATTGGTAAGTCGTTAGATTATGTTCAGTGTATTCTGTTTCAGATGGCAGGAAAGCATGCCCTGCATTTCCCAAACACTGGCTCTTAATAGCTAAGCCCCTCTAACGCTGTCAGCCTAGGTATGTGCTTCCTCAGGGTGACACACACATTCCTTTGGAGAGAAGACACTGGGTGAATGAAGACATTTTGAAAACTTTAATACTAGAAGACAGATTTTTAGTGATTTTTAGATGTTTGTTGTATAGATGATTTATATATTTGAGTCTCAGAGGAGTCTTATGTATTAACATGAAGTAAACAAAGATCTGTTTTTTACATTGAGTCCATTGGAATAATGTATGCAGTGTTACTTGTTTCTGAAAAATAAAATCAATTTTTTTTTATTATCCTTGGATAGTCAATAATTCATCACTGTCTTTACTGGAAAGTCGTTGCAGAGCTGTACATACGTTTGTATTCCCTAGCTTGTTTTGTAGTTTGCATATTATGTTTCTAGACACTTTTATCTGGTAAAAATTAACTATTTTCTGAAGTGTCTTATGTTTATTTCTGGGACTTACTAACAGGTTTCAGTTTTACATTTTCATTTTAATTTTACCACATTTTAAATCTATAACCATACTTGTAATTTTCATCTTGATTTCAATAAAAATTAATTTATATTTATGTTTGCAGTGTTCAAAAAAAGAATTTTATTTTGATATCAGGATAACTAGACTAGGACTTCTTATATCTTGTGTTCCTCACACAGAGCACAATGCCTGGCATTTAGAGGCTTTCAGTAAATATTGTTAGTTGAGTAAATCTAGTGTTTGTAAAGTCTGTCTGATTTCCTACTCAACTTCTTATGCAGTCTTAATAATTTATCTCTTTATTTTCTAGGCAATGAATGGCTTCTTCAAGGACAGATACCATCTGGAGAGATAGAGAGCATTTCCAATCAACCAACAATCTCACTGCAGATTCCTGGAGATTGTTTATCACTTGAGGCCATTCTGTCTATCAGCGTGTTTCTCTATTACTGTAGTGCAGACAGTAGTGCCTGTATGATGAAGGGAATTTTGTTCAGTCAGCCTTTACAAATAACTGATACACAGCAAGACTGCATACCTCCAGTAGAACTCAAGTATATATTTTAGCAAGCTGACTAGCAACCCAGTGCCGCCTCTTCTCAATATCCCCACCATCACTGTAATTTATGAAAAGAAACTTTATTTCTGCTTCTGTGTACCCAGAAACCCATTGTTCAGTTCTAGCAACTTATATTAAAGTATGCTGCTTATTTAATTATTTATTATAGACAAATTCCTTCATTCTGGCTGTGTAGCAGCAAAGTCACTGACCATGATTCCAACCATGATTCTGTAATCTGGGCTGTTACTTGGCACAAGACTTAAGTCCATGTTACAGGAAAGATAATTTTCAGTGAATACTGATAACAATAATGATACCAAATATTTTAACTAACTTTTTTACCTTTTATGAAGCAGCACATCTGAATGTGTAAATTTCACAGTAACTTTAAACAGCGCTTAAGATCCAGTCTACGTGTTGGTATAAGGACACCTGCCATTCAAGGTGTAAGGTCTGTTTTAGGTCAAGAAAAAAAATGTCTTTTCATCACAGTAGTAGCTTAAAGAGCATCTAGGTGGTAAAAATGTTCCTTGTTCTCTTCTGTGATTTTCTCATTTGAGATATATTTATGGTTATAAATTATTTGCTATTTTAGCATACCATTATTAATGGTATGTTAAATATTCTGTATATTTCTATATACAGAAAATATATTTCTATATTTCTGGAAGTTAGAGTCTCTAAGGACATATACAGACTCCTTTTAACGTTTTTCTGAATGAACAGTTTTAGTAATGAATAAACAGTCAGCAATGAATGACTCCTTAGAAATACTATGACTTTCAAGGAGAAAGGGACTTCAGAACACATTACTGCATGTGACACCACTTAATGGTAAAGAATTAATTGTTACCGCTAAGTCCAATGCAAATGGGTATGTGTGTTGTATTAGAAATTTACATTTCAGTTGAAGCATTAAATGCAGATTTGCCAGGTTTGAGGGTTTTTTGGTTCCCATATTGAGAATTTAAATGATCGTTGTTGTGATGTTTTTAAAAATAGCTGTTAAGCCTTCAAGGTGAAAATTTCAATATGAAGCACTTTTATGCTTTCATTATGTATAGTATCTTAATATATTACTTTAACATATTAAGGCTGAAACATACAGTGACTTGCTGATCCTGTTTTTGGTATGTTTTTTTCTAACCTTAAAAGAAATAGTCACCAGAAGATTTTGGAAAAGTTTTTTTTTTCAGTGATGCTTTCTCTTTATAACTATTTTAAAAGACTGCTTGTTTTTACTAAAAGTGATTCCACATGTTTGTGGTTTAATCAGCTTACAAGATTTTAAAAACAACAGGTGAATCATACTTATTCAGTAAATATTTATAGACAATATAACATAATACACCTTCTTGCTTCAAAACCAGTGCACAATTTGAATTGTAATTTTTTAAGCATAATCATCTGCCCATATATTTATATTCTTTTGAAATATAGTTTTGAACATACTATTTCAGATTACCTAAATATGAAGTAGGGGAATGCATAGATCATGACTATTTAATTTGTAGCCTCCTAAAGCTATTTTTAAAGAGAAGAATGTAAAGTTAAAAGAAATCCTGTTTAAAATTATATATGTATATGCATATATATATATATATATATAAGTACCTCATAAACCTTTTCTCTCCATAAAAAAAAATGTTCTGTAATAAAAGAATGTATAATATTGACATTCTCTTTTATGGAGAATAGGCTGTAGTCATTTTTAAAATCTCATTTTATTATTATACTTCTCATTTCCAGCTGGACAGAATGAAAATAGTTTGACTTAATTTTTTCCTATTTAAGGACATAAACAATTTCACTCTCTGAAGAAAATATATACACTTTTAACTCGCTAATTCAGGAATGCTTGATAATTATTTTTGCAGTATTATGCATGAACTTACACACAGTATATATTTTCATGTACATTAAAATCCAAAAATATTTCTAGAATATACTAATGTTCATTTTGTCTGTATAGAGTTTTCTGTTAGTATTAAGCTTATACTCTTCTTGATTTTTAACTACAGTTCTATTGAACATTCTTATTCTTACCCATCCAGTAATCTACATTGTTTTTCACATTTAAAATACTATGTATAGATATTACATGATTTTTTGTAAATCATGTTAAGCAATATAAATAGGTTCTTAGAATTTATGACTAACATAATAAACCTCTTACATAAGAGAGAGCACTAGAAAGTTCATTTTTAAAAACTTTTGTGATTCCTGACTCTGTTTTTAAATTTATGGCATGAAGAAAAGCAAAAGTTATGTTCAGTGATAGTTTGAAAAACTATTTTAGTGTTAGTCACCATAATCAAAATGCCAGTAATGTGGCATTACATACACTTAGACATAGTACCTAGAATCTTTGCCCTAAATTATTCTGCTTCTTTGTCACTGTTTTTTCCAACATTCTTTATATCACTTCACAAATGGTAAAATTTTCTTTTCTGTATTTATACTCAGGATTGATATCTCCAAAAAGAATTTTGGTTATCTTGGAAATGCTCAAGCAAATATTTAACCTGTCCACAAGGGAAAACTTTACAGTTTAATCACCCGTAGGTGTAACTTTGACAAAGTTCAATGACTAAGCAACTTTCTCCTAAACTATTGTAATAATATATTTACCTATAGTATTATCAGGCCTGCAGAAAGCTATAAATCTTAACACAGCCCCCAAAAAGCTTAGTATATGTAGATAAATGTACGTGTCTATATACTTACACAGATACAAAGATCAACTAAATTTCTCACATAGCCAGTATAGTCTGGAGATAGTACCACTGAGATAAGTTGCTCTCTGCTTGCTTTTTCAAAGTTGGAAAATTTGGGAAGACATTAACATTACATACCTCTGTAATATAGTAATTTTCTACTTGCCTAACATTTAGTATTAGTTTATATCTGTCGATTAGAAACAGTCTAACCATTATATTTGACATAGGAACAGTCATCAAAAACTAAATTTCTTAACTCATGAATTGCATGAAAATATATGCAAAGGGACTGTGTCATGTGGTGGGCTGTGAGTGGTGGAATTGTGAATATTTTCAGCTTTTTCTGTTTTTTTTTAATTGTAGAGTTGTGAATATTTTCTACTTTTTCATTTTTTTTAATTGAGCAATGGGTTATTTAAAAAAAAACTGGGAATATGCTTTTAAAGACTTAAAATGAACTGAACAGTAAGAACTAATTACATAATAACTTTTTCTGAAGTCACTTTTATCAAGAAAGATCAGAACTCAGTTTAGAGCTCTTTGATCTACCAGTTCTCTTCAGTTTGTGGTTTGGTGGAGACAAAAATAATTGTGGCTTTTGCTGCTAGTATTTTTATTGTGTGATGTAGTAGTGTTTCTGAACACAGACTCTGCGGTCACTTGGGTTCTGCCCTGTAAAATGGGGTCGCTGTAAGGGCTCAGTGAAATAGTATTTGTAGAGCAGTTAGTAGATAATGAAACTGCCAGTTATCAGTCATGAATAATAATGATAATAATTTATGACCATAAAACACATGGCTTCACACTTTCTTTGCAACTGCAGTTTCTAAAGGAAACTATTCCTCTACCAACTGTGTGGTATGTTAATACTCTCTGCAGTGCTGGGATTCAAGAAGAGAAATAGTTTTATAATAAATATATTACTGTTTTATAAACAATGTTATAAAGAAACAAACCTCCAGTTTTAAGAAGTTTTTTAAGACCTGTAATGATGACTGATGAACTTCCTTTGAGAAAGTCCAGATATACCCTAAACCATGTTCCTGGAATATCCACTGATGGTGCTTTTCCAAGCCTTCCAAGTGCCTTCATGCATTTTGCCTCACAAGTCAGACAGGTAGATCTTATGTCCATTTTACAGATGAGGAAGCAACTTTAAAATGTTGGCTTCATGTCTCAAGTTCAGCACTCCCCGAATAACTGCCTGATGCTGGAGAGGTGCCCGGTGCAGGCAGTTGCTCAGCCAGTTTTGTTGAATGATTGAGAGTGACTAGTGGGTGATGGATCTTCTATTTGAACACAGATCTCCTAATTTCTAGCTCTACTTCTAGACATAGAGTGAAAACAAACTGGGATTAAGAGTATTTATTTTTGTGAATGCTTTCTTAAGCCTTTGCAGTATTTGAATAAAGTTATAAGAATAATAGCTAAATCTATTCAGTGCTAACTATGTGCCTGGCACTTTTCTAAGTGCTGTCTGTGTATTAACTAATTTAATCCTCACAACCACCTTATGAGAGAGGTTCTAGTTTTCCTTATTTCTCTGATGAGGAAACTGAGACACAAAGAAGTGGTAACCAATTAGACCAGCGTAATTGAGATCAGACATTTAGGACTGACCCAACCTGGGTGCATCTACTCAACTACCATGCTTTTATGCCTGCCTTTAAAAGTGTTTGTTCGGTTTTTTTAAAGCATAAATCTTCCATAGTTATATATAGTAACTAATCAACCCAAAGAACTTCAAAAGTCCTAGTAGGGATTGTTTTTGAAGTTTAAAGTAAATCCATTTAATTATATCAGCTTTTTGGACTTTTCGTTATACATAGTTACCCTTCAGGGTTTGGAACAGTCTGTATAATTGTTTCTCTCAGAAGATTTTATGTGCCATTCTTTCTTAAATTCAGATATTATCAAGAGTTTTTCTTGGCAGATGGATGTATTAAAGAACTAACTAGCCATTCAGTATTAGTTCCAACAATGCTATTTTAATTGGTCTTCAGAAGGTAATTATAAGACCTTGTCACAAGTATAACTTTATTCTTAGTACAGGACTGTCTCAAACCTTTGAAAGCTTGTTCATATTTAAGAAAATAACTGTTTTAATGACCAAAGTGAGCTATAGAAACATAATACTCTGCCCATCTGTTAACACACAGAATCATCTGCCTACTTGATTCATAACTACTGCAGTATATAGACCTTACCCCACTCTGCCCCCCAGGACTCAAGATATACGCAGTTCCATTCTAGTAAAGTTTTCACCAGATCAACCTATTATTCCAGCTTTAGGTACTATTAAAAGGTCTGAAGTAGAATGCTGCCTACCACGGATTATGATTCATGAGCATCCAGTTACAAGAATGTAAATGTTTTTCATTTATCATCTGCTAATTTAAGTGTTACTAGAATTTGTTAATATTGTTATAAAATTCCAAATCAGAAATCTATAAGGAAATGTGCATCAACTTTAAGACATGGCAGTGTTATACTTTACAAGTAGAATTAACTGTTAATCACCAAGATTTCCTCCTTTTCTCTTCCAGTGGCACACAGTTTATTTAAATGAATTCACAGTAACCATAAATCATGATTTTGTTCTGAATATTTAAAAGTGTGTCCCCAGCCCCCTCTTTTCCTTGCAGTAGGATAATAGAAAGCATGCCTTTAAGAGCTAGAGGCTGGACTAGCCTCCTGTGTGTATTCCATGCCCTGCACACCTTGGCCCTTTCATGTATTATTAGACTGAGGGTCAGCCTGGCTGGTTTGGGCCAGGGCTGCCAGTCTGACCGCAGCCTGGGAAAAGCAGAGCAGGAGGCGGCGCGGCCGGCTTCTCTGACTGCATCCCCTGTGTTTCTCGGTGTGCGGGTTCGGTTTAGTTTTTGTCAGAAGTTGGAGTTGGAAAGTGAGAACCCTAGATACCTGTGGACTGTCAGCCTGGCTGTAGTTATTGCTTGTTTGGGATGTCCCTTTTCCACACTGGCATGTCACTCTCAAGTGGACCAAAGGACATTTTATTCTGTTGAAAGCCCCGTGATCAAAAGGAAAGAATTGTAAGTACTTCCAAATCTACTTCCTGGCCTGTACCAACCATATCCTGAAAAGCCCTGAACAAGCTTGGTGAAGCACTAAGCAGCCACATACTCGCAAGCATTTTTGGAACATGTCAGGGCATGGTATGAATTCCTTCCTCTTAAAGGAGCAACTTTCAGAGCTGGTGTTTTTCAGTAGTACAGAATTAAGCAAAATTGTCAGATTTTTTTATGAGTTAAAGGGACAGTGGAATTTATTACCTTTTGCCTTTAATATACTGGGTTACATATTTATGTTTGAAATGAGGCCTCATAATAGAGGGGGGAAAAGCAATCCTCAAATTTGAATAGAACCAGTTTAAATAGTATTTTTGATTATCTAGTGTGCTATGCTCATAAAAAATATGTGTTAAGGTATATAGGGTAAAACAGTTGATAAATTATGATAATGAAAGGTAAAAATAGACACATTAATTTCTGAAAATGAAGACAGGCTCAGTCTTGGAACTATCTTCTATTTTTAGATTTTTGTCATCATCATTCTTAGTCCCACCAGATATGTGTTAACTCTGTGAGCATGTGCAGAATGGGCTACCTGTTGTGTTCATTACATGTTCAGATGCTAACAAGTGTGTGTGTGGAGTTGGAATGTACTTTCTCTGTGTGCCTCTGATGTTCATCACCCAAATTTACCTGTAGAAATACATAGCACATCCACTCCACACCTTAGGCTTCCCTCTCTTTGAAAACAGTAGTGTCTGTAGAAGTTGCAATGAGGAACTATATAGTTCCACAAATGACAGATACAGTAGATTGGTTTTGTTGTGGTAAATTTTTTTTTCTAAAATTCTTCATATGTCCATTTCTAAAGAAGGAGAACAGTGTGCTACATGACTTTAAAATCAATTTTACTCTACTTGAAGTTATATGTTTCTAATTATGTTATACATAGGTTAATATTTTTTAAAGGTTTGAAGTTTTCACTGTTAGCATGCATTGAGAGTCAGTTTAGAAATGCTTTAATTGCTGTCATCACTTTACATGTGGGTTATGGATTAATCAAAGTTTGCTGTGATACATATATATCACATACATACACATATACATACATATATACACACAATCACTTTCAAATTGTAACATTTTCATAAATTTGTCAAGTTTTAAAAACTCAGACTCTTCCCCTCGTGTGTGTGTGTTAAGTTGTGGTTTTATCTTTGAGAATAGTGTTGGTCTGCTGTGCTGACTTCACCTCTGTCATTCCAAGAGTTTGATTATATCTAATTTTTCTTCAAAGATAAAGAATGCGATTGAAATCCAATTTACAGGATCATGTATTAGACTTAGTTGAGTTCTAAAAGAATTGACTTGGTCTGCATTTGTGAGCATTTCATGTAGATAGAGTAATATATTTTTGTACAACACTGTATTTCTACATTTATTTCAAGTCTGTTTTCAGTGACTTTTTCAAGTACATGTGTTAAGATGGTTTGGAATGAGAGCACAGTAGCCTTCATTTCCAACTCAAAAGAAGTGTATAATACATGTGATTATAGAAAACCAGAATGTTTATACTGTACACTGAAACCTAATGCCTCTTTTCTAAAGCTTTGTATATTTTTTTTTCATGAAATTGATTAAATATTTTCCCTCTAACGCTATGTTTCTCTTTTTTATGCTTTCTGTTTTAAGTATACCATGAGATCATTTTACTGCTTGGAGTCCTATCATCCAGATTAAAAATGGTGCATAGTTTGGGTTGGAGGAGTCTGGGAGGTGAGGTGAGGGTGACCAGTAGATGTGAGTCATGTGATCCTAGCTTTTGTGTTAAGTGATTCAGGAGTTTTAGGGAGAGGGGTTAAAACCTGGGGTTATGGATAATATAGCTGCGTGTACTTCATTCCATTAAAAAAGAGAAGGCAGTGAGGCTGGTACAAACTTGCTGCACTGGATGGGGGTCGGGAGGATGGGGACAATGTCAAGAGGGTAGGCAGCAGCCAAACTTGAGTTATGTGCATCCTCTAGCATTTCAAAGTTAAGCTAGAAGCCGTTATGGAATTTTTAACAGGGAGTCCTGTGATCTAGTTTGTCTTTAAAGATCTCTGTGCCTGCCATATGAAAAATGGATTATGAGAAATGGGGCCAAGAGAGAGGAAGCAGTTAGAAAGCTATTAGTCCAAGCAACAAAGAGTTAATTATGCAAGACAATATGGTCCTAGCACAAAAATAAAAACACAGGTCAGTGGAACAGAAGAGAAAACCCAGAGATAAATCCACACACCTGTGATCACCTAATTTATGACAGAGGAGGCCAGAATATACAATGGAGCAAAGACTGCTTCCTTCAATAAGTAGTGCTGGAAAAACTGGACAGCTATGTGTAAAAGAATGAAATTAGGACACTCCCTAACACCATACATAAAAATAAATTCAAAATAGATTAAAGACATATATGTAAGGCCAGACACTACAAAATTCTTAGAGGAAAGCATAGAACACTTCTTAGACATAAATTGCAGCAAGATCTTTCTCTGACCCTCCACCTAGAGTAATGAGAATAAAATAAATGTACCTAATTAAACTGAAAAACTTTTGTACAGCAAAGGAAACCATACACAAGGCAAAAAGACAATCCTCAGAATGGGAGGAAATAATTTGCAAATGAAACAGCTGACAAAAGATGAGTTTCCAAAATATACAAACATCTCATGCAGCTCAATATCACAAAAACAATAAAAAAAGAGTGGAAAGTCTAAATAGACATTTCTCAAAGATGTACAGATGGCCAAGAGACACATGAAAAGATGCTCAATATCGCTTAAATGCAAATCAAAACTACAATGAGGTATCACCTCAAACCTGTCAGAACGATCATCATCACAAAATTCTACAAACATTAAATGTTGGAGAGGGTGTGGAGAAAAGGGAACCCTCTTGCACTGTTGGTGGGAATGTAAATTGATACAGTCACTATGGAAAACAGTCTAAAGGTTCCTTTCAAAACTAAAAATAGAACTACCATGTGACCCAGCAATCACACTACTGGACATGTACCTAAGAGAAAACCATAATTTGAAAAGACATGCACCCCAGTGTTCATTACAGCACTAGTTTACAATAGCCAGGACATGGGAACAACCTAAATGTCCATCAACAGGGGTGGATGGAGAAGATATGGTACATAAATACAAGGGCTTCCCCAGCAGGTCAGCAGTAAAGAATCTGCCTGCAACACAAGAGATGTGGGTTCTATCCCTGGGTGGGGAAGATCCCCTGGAGAGGAAAATGACAACCCACTCCAGTATTCTTGCCTGGGAAATTCTTGCCTGGAAAACAGGAGCCTGGCAGGCTACAGTCCATTGGGTTGCAAAAATCAAACGCGACTCAGCAACTAATCAACAACAACATATATACAGTGTAATACCAATATTAAACATAAAAAGGAATGAAATTGGGTCATTTGTAGAGATGTGGGTGGACCTAGAGACTCAAAGTAAAGTCAGAGAAAAACAAATATTGTATATTAACAGATATATGTGGAAACTGGACAGATTGGTATAGACAATCTTATTAACAAAGCAGAAATAGAGATGCAGACGTCAAGCACAAACATACGGATATGAAGTGGGGAAAGGGGGAATGGGATGAATTCGGAGGTTGGGACTGATGTATATACACTACTATGTATAAATAGACAGCTAACGAGAGCCTACTGAACGGCCCGGGGATCTCAGTGATCTGCAGTGACCTAAATGGGAAGAAAATCCAGAAAAGTGGGGCTGTATGTATACGTAGAGCTGATCCGCTTTGTTATGCAGTAGAAACTAAAGCAACTATACCCCAATAGATATTTTAAAACTTTTTTAAAAAGCTAATTATGAATTGGCTTAGTATGGGAGAACTGGATAATACTGACACTTGGAGGTAAACCCATGAGATTTGCTGGTAGATTTGACTTTTTTGCCCATGAAATTGGCAAGATTTAAGAAGACTTGGTGAGGTCACATGGAAATGGGCACTTTTATAATGGCTTAAAGGAATATAAACTATACATCTCTTTCAAGGGCTATTTGGCCGTGTCTATCAAAGTTTTAAATGCATAAATGTCTTGACCCAGTAGTTGCACTTACAGAAATTCATTCATTAGAGTACTTGCCTACACGGACAAAAGAATGTCAGCAACGATAATAGTGAAAAGCTTAAAACAACCTAAATGTCCATCAACGGAATGTGGTAATGTAAATGTCCTATTATGTTTTTTTAACTACATGTATTACCAAAAAGACAGAAACAAAAACTGTTGGTGAGGATGTAGAGAACGGGAACGCCTGTGTGTGTCCTGTTGGTGAGGATGTAAACTGGTGCAGCCGTCGTGAATCATGGAAAACACTGTGTGCTGCGCTTAGTTGCTCAGTCATGTCCGACTCTTTGTGACCCCACGGACTGTAGCCCACCAGGCTCCTCTGTCCATGGGATTCTCCAGGCAAGAATCCTGGAGTGGGTTGCCATGCCCTCCTCCAGGGGATCTTCCCAACCCAGGGATCCAACCCAGGTCTCCCGAATTACAGGCAGATTCTTTACTGTCTGAGCCACCAGGAAAACCAAGAATATTGGAGTGGGTAGCCTACCCCTTCTCCAGGAGAACTTCCAGACCCAGGAATCAAACTGGTGTCTCTCTCCTGCATTGCAGGCAGATTCACTACCAGATGAACTACCTGGGAAGCCCTGGAAAACAGTATGGAGGTTCCTAAAAAAACTAAAAATAGACCTATCATATGACTTAGTAATTCCATTTCTGGATATTTATCCGAAGAAATTGAAAACACTAACTTGAAAAGATACATACATTATTGCAGCATTATTTACAAGAGCCAAGATATGAGGGGAAAAAAAACCCTGTGTCCATTTATGGATGAGTGGATTAAAAAAATGTGATACATGTATGTGTGCATAGTATATGTATATATGTGTGTATGTATGAATATATACAGTAGAATATTATTTAGCCATAAAAAGAAGATCTTGCCATTTGCACCAACTTGAATGGACCTTGAGGGCATTATAATAAGCAAAATTAAGTCAGACAGACAAATACCATATAATCTCACTTTCTTGTGAATCTAAGAACAAACAAATAAAACACAAACCAAAAAACTGAGCTCATAGATGTAGAGAACGGATGGGTGGTTGCGAGGTGAGGAACAGGCAAAATGGGTGAAGAGTCAAATGGTACTAAGTTCTACTTAAAAATAAACAACTATCTCTATAGAGGTACACATTTGTTTACACACACACAAATTACATAAATAGTCATTGCTATGTACAGTAATGCAAGATTATAAAAATGACCATGCATGCAAGCTGAAACTGCAAAGCAATCTTGATAATCAATGGGAGAAAGTATTATTTTTCCATGATCTTTAAAACTATTTGTTAATTAAAATATTAAAAATTTTCACATTGATTATAAATGTATGGGGGAAATTTAAAAATAATGCTAATATTTATTTAGCACACTGTAATTTAAAACATTACAGATATTGAGAGTTAAAATTTTTATTTCTTCGCTAAGAAAATTTACCAAGACTATTTGAACAGTGTTTGCTTTCTTCTCATCACAAATTTATGAGACAACGCAGGTGTCCTTTCTCTGCCCTGGAAAATTGTCATGCTCCTTTCTAAGTTTGGATCAGTTACCAGCATTTAATCTTTGTGCTTTAAGCACTGTGATATCTCTAAGAGTTCCTTTAATGTGTGTGTGTTTTTTTTTTTTGGCCAGTGTCACTTCCTCTAGACAGCGAATTCTTTTCATTACATTCACTTTCCTCATTTATGTTAATAAGTTCACCCTCACTAAGTTTCTCTGGTTGTGTACCTAGAGTCCATCAAACATTCTCCTGGGCAGCTATTTTCTCTGAAACTGTATTTACATTCCATTCAGATTTAACTTCCACTGTTTTCACTTTTCATTGCTTTGCTGTACATTTTGTCTTTTAGGCCAATTCCCTCTTTTGATTTTTCACTTTTGTAAAATGTCACATGGCTCTGTGACAAGATGGCAACACAACTACATGATTTGCTGTCTGTGCATGAACTAAAAACAAGAACGGTGACCAGTCACTAATAGACTTTGAAGGTGACATTATGAATCACTGGTCATGGGATGCATCTGTTCATAGGTAAGTTACTCACAGTTAATATACCGTGATACCTGAAGCTGAAAGTTGTGTTGTTGGGCAACGGGTGTTATTTAAACTGTGGTACCTAAAACTGTGCACACCAGAATTGTTCAAAGCAAGGGCTGCCTTGAATATAGAGAGAAACAAGAAATAGATAATAGAAGGGACACAATAATTTCCTAATAACTATACAGAGTTAAGACCCTGATGTTGGGAAAGATTGAAGGCAGGAGGAGAAGGGAACGACAGAGGATGAGATGGTTGGATGGTATCACCAAATCAATGCACAGAAGTTTGAGCAAACTCGCAGACGGTAAAGGACAGGGAAGCCTGGCATTCTGCAGTCCATGGGGTCACAAAGAGTTGGACAGGACTGAGCGACTTAACATTAGCAACAAAATATAGAGTTAAATACAGGGGATAGGTAAGGACTAGTATTTACTGACCTGATATATTTTTCTATTGTTTGATCTTTTACAAAC